TTGTTCAGAAATACTATGCACTGACAAGACTTCATTAACTATAATAAATTATCTATAAACACAAATTAATCTAATTTTCCACAAAAGCAATTCCAAAAATAAAGATTTGCAGCCAAAATATTTTGGCACAAAGCACTTCTCCAGAATTTCAAATTCCCTGAAAGAGGAGTTCTGAATAACTCTTCTGGTTGTATCACTTACCTACTTTCTATTTTACTTCACACAGAAGTACCAGTCAAAGGCAAGAGGTAATAAAAAGTAAGAAAAATGAGTCATATTTTCAGGACTACATTTATTCTAGAAATACATATAATCAAGAAATTAAAACGTATCTTAATGATCAGAGCTGCAAGTCAACCCCAAAAAGCTTCAGTTTTAAAGTAATCCAAATGCATCTGCAATGAAAACAATTACCTGCTATTAGCTTTTGGAGGGTACTCTTATCTCCATTAACAGCAGCAGCATGCACTTCAGATGCTAAGGAGGAACCACTGAAGAGGCAGTTTGCTGAAATATTCATACTCTTTCAAGGTATTACCATAGGTCAGATCTGCACCACCAACATTTTTTGTAGGAATTCAGCTCTAGAAAAAAACCAAAACCGCAACAATAAAACACAATGAATTTCACAAGGAGTTATTAAAACAACTGTGGATTAAATCTACCTCCAGCCAAAATTCACCAGAAAAAAAAAGCCTACGTTAAGAAGATACATATATTGTAGTTTCCTTGTCTTAAACATAAATTTCAGTCAATAAATTTTGCAAAAGTCTGCAAATAGGGTAGTGTTTATCTACAAACCCAACATACCATTCTTCAGAGTGTTGGCATTCACACTTCAATTCAATACCCATTGAAGTCTGCTATCAAGTATCAACTTTTTATACTCCTCCAGTACAGAATCACGGAATATCCTGATCATCAAAGTCCAGCTCCTGGCCCTGCACAGGGACAGCCCCAAGAATCACACCATGTGCCAGAGAGTATTGTCCAAATGCTTCTTAAACTCTGTCAACTTTGGTGCTGTGACCACTTCCCTGGGAAGCCTGTTCCAGTGCCCAACCACACTTTGGGTGAAAAACCTCTTTCTAATATCCAACCTAAACCTCCCCTAATACAACTTCAGGCCATTCCCTTGGGTCTTGTCACTGGTCACCAGAGAGATCCGTGTCTGCCCTCCCTCTTCCCCTCACGAGGAAGTTGTAACTGCAATGAGGTCTCCTCTCAGTCTTCTCCAGGCTGAACAGGCCAAGTGACTTCAACCACTCCTCATACGGCTTCCCTTCACCATCTTTGTTGCCCTCCTTTGGACGCTAACAGCTTCATGTCTTTCTTATATTGCAGTGCCCAAAACCGCACACAACAATCAAGGTGAGGCCACACCAGTGCAGAGCAGAGCGGGATAATGAGCTCCCTCAACTGACTGGTGATGCTTTGCCTGATGCCCCCCAGAACACAGTTGGCCCTCCTGGCTGCCAGGGCACTGCTGACTCATATTCAACCTGGTATCGACCAGGACACCATGGGTCCCTTTCCATGGCACTGCTTTCCAGCATCTCATTCCCCAATCTGTACATACATCCAGGGTTGCCTTGCCCCAAGTGTAGAGTCTTGCATTTGCTGTTGTTGAACTTTATATGGTTGGTGACTGCCTAGTCCCCTAATTTGTCGAGGTCTCTCTCCAGGACCTCCCTGCCTTCGAGAGAGTCAACAGCTCCTCCCAGTTTAGTATTGTCAGCAAACCTTGTTTAGTATTTCTTTGAGTCTTGTGCCCAAGTCGTTAATGAAGATGTTGAAGAGCACTGGGGTGAGGATGGAGCCCTGTGGAGCCCCACTAGTGACAGGTCACCAGCCTGATGTTACCCCACTAATTATAACCCTTTACGCTGCCCCCTGAACCAAGTGCTCATCCACCTCATGATGTGTTTATCCAGCTGTGTACTGGACATATTGTCCAGAAGGATCCTGTCAGAGACAGTACTGAAAGCTTTACTGAAATCCAAATTAAGATTACATGAGCTGGCTTCCCTTGGTCAACTAGGTAGGTTACCTTGTCATAAAAGGAAATTAAGTTTGACAAGCAGGACTTTCCTCTTGCAGATCTGTGCTGGCTGTGATTGACAACTGCATTGTCCTTCAGGTGTTTTTCAATAACTGCCAGAATAATTTCTTTATAATTTTACTGATGTCAGTCTCACTGACAGGCCTGTAGTTTCCAGGGTCATCCCTCTTGCACTTCTTGAAAGTGGGACAATGTTAGTCAGCACACAGTCAACTGGGACCTCTCCAGATTCCCAAGATCGCTCAAAAATCATTGAGAGATGCCTGATGGTGATATCAGCCAGCTCTTTGAGGATTCTCAAATGAATCCCATCAGACGCCATAAACTTAGAGGGATCCACCCGGAGCAGCAGACCCCACACAAGTTCAGGGTCAACTGGGAGTGCATAATTCTCATCATCATGGTCCTCCAGCTCAGGGCACTGGGATCCCTTTAGCCTGTCATCAGTGGTGAACACCGAAGTAAAGCAAGAAATAAACGTCTTCATCTTGTGTATGTCCCTGTTTGTAAGGTGACCATCCTCATCTTGTAACTGGCTGATCTTATTTCTGTGCTTCCTCTTGCTAACCATATATTTAAAAAACCCTCTTTTTATTGTCCCCCACATCTCTGGTCAGCTTCAACTCCAGCTGAGCTTTGGGTACACAAATTTTCTCCCTACAGCGGCAAGGGGCATCTCTGAATTTCTCCCATGTCACCTGACCTTGCTTCCACTGGGCATACACATTCTTTTTTTGCCTTAGCTCCAAAAGAAGATCCCTGCTCAGCTAAGCCAGCCTGACAGTCTGCTCGACTTACAACATTCTGGAATTGCCTGCTCCTGTGCCCTTAGGAGGTGGTGTTTAAAAAGTGAGCAGAACTGATGGACTCCAGTACCTTCAAAACCATTTTTCCAGGGGACCTTACTAACTAGTTACTCCATTTTCTTTACATTTTACCTTTCCACAAACAAATAAACTAAAATATGAAACATCCAGAGGCAGCAGTGTAAAATTCAGCAAATACTGAAGAACTTAGTAATGCATCAGAAGCATCCTAATTATATCAACAGTAATTTTTACATAAAACTGACTGCATACAGAAGAGAATTGATAATGAAAGATGATCATGATTTCCAGATGAAAGTAGCAGCCGCATTTGCCTAAAGGATCAGTAATCATACAGGTGAGAGAAGCAACCCATTATCTCTACAGCAATTCCCAGTACAGTATCATAACTCCATTGAAAGAGCTAATTCTGCACCAGAGAAGTTTTAAAATATTAAGAGCAACTATAAGAGGAACAAATGTAACGTTCCTCAGATACTTCTCTCATGTATATGACAAACAGATAAATTGCTGTGTCGAAGAGTTGTTTGATAAAGACGCTCTTTAAAAAAAATGAGGCATTTATTCAATAAAAATAAAGAAATAAGTACAAGATCTGTTTATAAGAAGTTACATAATTTACAATATCTGAAATATATATCATATCACCAGAATGAGGTAAATAATTCACTTTTCTTCTTTAAGCTAACATGTAGAAAAATACTAGCCTTGTCAAATCACCTGACATGAAAGGATATTCATAAGGACAGCAAGACTTCTTCAGGTATGGGAAATTTCGTATCAAACTATAGGAAGTCTACTTTGGATTACACAGATAACCAGAATTACATCATTTTTCTATTCAGCAAAAGACGAGGTTGTTAAAATTTAAACATGATCACTCTATCAAATTTTACAGATATAGTTTCAAAGTGAAGAAGGAGCTGTGAAAAAATATCAAAGATCTTTCAAATGTGAGTTAATTCAGAAGATAAAACATGCATTCTACAGATGGAAAAGCACAAGTTCTTAAGGTAGTCACAGCAGAACTGATAAAAGGCAAGTTTCAATTTCAGACTATAAAAAACTACATGATTTGTGTGTGTGTGTTTTCAGCTTATGAAACCGACAGGCCACAAGACTTTTGCAGAGTGACGCATAAAGTCAGAGCCTGTCAGGCTCTGAAACAGAGCCAGGCTTGACTTGGAAAAAGCTGATGGACAGGACTTTCTTTTAAATGGCGTTACGCCCTGTTTCCCTCCTTACACTCGTGTACATACTGGAAATGTGACAAATGTAAAGTGCAGCTTTCCATGATCTTTTCGAGACAGCTCAGCGAGGTCTCAAAGCACGTATGTATTCTGTAAGGTCCGAAGTTTTACTGGAAGAGGGCAAAGCCCCGAATTTCGGGCGTTCTTCACGTTCAGAATTTACAACCGAAGAAGTGCCAGAATAAATCTGTTGAAGCGTCTAAGGATAAACATCAACAATGACGCTCCACTTTAGCTGAAGTTTCCCAACCCTCCCACCAGCCGCTCTGTCCCCTCACACACAGACTTCCAAACGGAAGAAAGTTGCTTCCCACACTCCGAGAGCGCGAGGATCACAACGCGCACAGCGCCCAAATACCCCTCCTCGTATTCCCTACAGCTAAACCCGTGTCCCCAGTCCCGGCGGCTGATGGAACAAGGCGGGATCCCGAAGAAAGGCTGGGGGCTCGCAGGAATGGGGCAGCGGGGACCCATAAGGAGCCCCAGTGCCCGACCCAGAGCGGAAAAGGATGCGGTGCCAGGGGACATTTCCCCCCCCCCCCCCCCCCCCACACACACCCCAAGGCGGGAAGGGTTAACCCTGCTTGCCTTACTTCCCTCCCTCCTTCCCTGCCCCATCCCGCGCTGCAGCTGCGCCCCGTAACTCACCTCCACCCCGCCCGCCTCCTCATCGCGCCGCCACCGCCCCCAGGCACCGCCCCTCGGGCAGCCCCGGTGCGTTCTGGGACCTGCGCCTCCTTCCGCTCTCCTTTCCCACTCCTCCTTCCCTTCTTTCCCTTCTCCTCCTCCTCGCCCTCCCCTTCCCGGAACTACGGATCCCGGCGTGCCCCGGGAGCGCGCGGCGGAGCGCGGGGCCCCGCGGTGGAACTTGCCCGGGTGTTTCCTGGCGACGGGGGGAAGTGGAGGAGCCGCCGCCGCCGCGGAGAGTGGGAGCCGCGCTTCTCCCCGCTCCCTGCCGGGCGCCTGATCTACCATGAGACCCGCCATCTTCCCGCTCCTGCCTGACCCTGGCTGCCTCCTGCTCCTCCTGGTAAAAGCCGCCCGGCTCCCCGCTGCCCTTCCCTTCCCCGCGCCGGCTGGGGTGGCCGGCGGGCCCCGCTCGGGGCTCTCCCGTCCCTCCCTCTCTCGCTCCTTCCCGGCCGGCGGCACCTGCTGGGCGGGGGAGGGGAGGGAGGAGCGGCGCGGCGGCCCCAGCGGTGTGGCCGAGGCCGATAGGCTGCACGCCCGGGGTGGGGCCGGGCCCGGGGCCGGGGCCGGGCGGTGCGGCCTCGCCCCGGCCCCTCGGGTGCGGGACCCCGCGGGGAATGGCCGTAGCGGGGCCGCCCTGCAGCCACCTGGAAGGAGGTTGTGGCCAGGTGGGGGTCGGCCTCTTCCCCCAGGCAACTGGCGGCAGGACGAGAGGACGTGGTCTTAAGCTGCGCCAGGGGAGGACATTAGGAGGAATTTCTTCACAGAAGGGGTGATTAGACATTAGAATGGGCTGCCTAGGGAAGTGGTGGAGTCACTGTCCCTGGAGGTGTTCAAGGAAGCACTGGATGTGGCACTCAGTGCCGTAGTCTAGTTCACATGGTGGTGTTTGGTCATAGGTTGGACTCGATGATCTCAGAAGTCCTTTCCAACCTGATTGACCCTGTGATCTCTAGTTGTTAGACTACAGCATTTTTTGATTTATTTATTTTTTTTTTAGGCTGGCATTACATACATGACCTAAGCCACCTTCTGGCTTTGCATATACACAAACGCAATCACTGATGTCTGTGTGCTGTGGAGATAAGTTGGCTGTGTTATACTCAGTCTTTTTTTTTTTTTTTTAACACGTATATGTAGTGATTCTTGCTTTTCCGAACTTGTATTGGGCCAGATTCTGGACCTTTTGTAGCATAAGTGACTTGTAGAACTACAGGTGACTGGTGTGAATAAATTTGAGTAGGATTTTTCTCTTAATATACTAATTTGTTTAATCGATCTATTTTATGCATTTGGGTGAAGAAAACTGACCAGAAAATTAAGGAATAAATGCAAGTAAAGGTAGATAGAGCTCTGAGGGTCCAAAGAGGAGCACATAGTAATATAGCTGCGAATGAATTGCTTAGCAATGTGAGGACAGATACTTAATGAACAGTACAAGTACTCATTATGTGCATTTCTACCTGGATAAGATCTGGTTAGATTATTACAAATTTGCTCTCATTTCAGGCTTGGTAAATATACATGATTGGTAGAGTTTGAAAAAAAGCACATTTGAAATGTTTATATATAGATGCCTATTTATAATGTGTAAGCTCACTGTATGACTATATGAGAGACTAAAGAAAGAACCTAATACTTTTCAGTGACATCTGTGTGTTAAAATATTGTTGCTTGGGTGCTAGATTGCTTTTCAACATTATTTTAAATACAGAGACTAATGAGCAAAATCAAAGAGTATGTACTGTTTAAAAGTGCCATTTAAATGAGCAAGTACAAGTTTGAAAAAGCACACATGAGTTAATGAAAGCATTTTTCTTTCTTAGTGGCACAGTTAGTCAATGCTAATTTAATATGCATCATTTAGAGTTACGTTTGCCAACAGAAAAAATAGGAAATGGCTGTGATCTGAAACTTGTCTGTATTTTATTTGCTGCTTCTTTGAGTATGGGTCATTTAAACTCATTTCTAATGTGATTTAAAAGAACTGTATGCATAAAACCCTAAGAATGCACGTCAGCATTGTTTTTAAAAAAATACAATTTGATATAATGTTATCTGTGTCCCTATTCAGCATCATGTCAGCCATGGCCCTGTGTTGTAAGATGCCTAGTTACGTGAGTCAAGCCAATGAATCATTCCTTTTAGTAGATTTGTTAAGAGTTTTGTGAAAGTTGTCCTGAGCAGACTGGGAGTGGGAGGGGGCCCATTTTCTTTAAGATGGCTTAAAAACTTTGTAGAAGTTGCTGTTTGTTTTCTTGTGGCACTCAGAGACTCTGATAAGGTGTATCAGATTGGCTTTAAAGTTCTGGTAACTTTGTTTTTCTTTTTATCAACTGCCATGGATACTTAAGTCCAGCAATGCAACCGTGATCTTGGCCTCCTGCTCCACATCAAAAGGACATACCATACAAAAAAGCCTCTTTGAGCATGGCATATTTTGCGAATGTGAGTTTGTTAGTGTTGCATCAGTGGGTCCTAGAACAAAACACACAATGATATATAGCTGTGAAAACAGCTTACAAAGCTGGTCTTGCTTAGTAATAGCAGTGAAGTCAACAGAAATTCTTTACATTTCCAGTCTCTTGGATAAGCATATTTCTTTTCTAGATGGGGATTTAAAATGCTGCAAAAAGAAGAAAAGATACAATGTCAGTATCAAAAGAAGTTCTCTTGTCTAAAGAAGTTTGACAGTGGGAGATCACTAAAATTTTAGAGGGCCTTTGTTGAGTTTCACTAATATTCTTCTTTCCTGGTCTCACTGATGCCTGCCAGTCCCAGCACAACTATTTGCCCTTCCAACTTTTTGGCCTCATGTTGCTAGGGTTGAACTGGGCTGCTGGAAGTTGAAAAGGGGACAGGGGAGGTACAGGCTGGCATGACCCCTGCCTCACAAGCTGAGTGGAGGGGCAAGCAGCACACAGCACACAGCACAGGCTGTAGAGGGTCTCGTGCAGCTGTTTCCAAGACTGGAATAAGAGATGCATAGTAATGTCGTGTGGGCCCTTGTAGATTAAGATGTTTCTGCCATGTTGGTATGTTGCTTAATACTGGGCATAACAGACCTTTAAGATGAAACCAAGACAATGGAATAAATGCTGATGGGAGAGTGGCTCATCACATTCTCCTCCAAGGCAAGGTGTGGTTCTTTGGCTTTGCTCTAACCAATCGTTCTGTGTGTTTGCCTGTACTTGCAGTCAGGTATACTTTACCTATAAAGAAAGTTCTAGAACGAGACACTCTTGCACATGCTGCTTTTGCTTATATTTGAAAGGCATTTGTCATATTGCTCAGTGCTTCACTGGGAGGCTCCTGCAGTATTCCTGAGCAATAGCTGGGACTAGAGGAAACCACCAACTGATAGTGAGGGGAATGAAAGGGGAAGTTCTCTAACTGGAAAAAACCTATAGGGTACTATTTCTGTTTCTTGTTTTACTGCCACTGTCTTTCATGTCTTGTTAATACAGCACCAAGTACCTAAGCAGTGAAAATAAAATGAAATAGAATCATAATGTTAAATGTGTAGTAAGTTGCCCAAAGAGAAATTGAACACTCTGCACAATTTATGTATAGAGCATATTTCTGTGCATTTGCCTCTCTCCACATTTGTATTAAACCCTAAATTTTATAATTGGAAATCCTGCTCAAAATATTATATTCTGAATTTGAACATTAGTCAAAGATTGTAGTTACAGGCAAAATTTAGGCCACTGAGCCTTATACAATGGAAGGGATTCCCTCCAAGAGTAGCATGGGATTTCTGAGTTGTCGTGGTCTCTAAGCAGTGTTAATTGAGGAATATGGTATAGTATACTATAGTAGTTAATTGAGGAACTTTCCCTAGGTTGGGGAGAGGAAGCAGAGAAGTCTTGTGTTCTTGTGAAGACAACTTGCATTCTTCTTGCTATGCCATATGATGGGTGTTTCCTTTTTGGAGCGCTCAGGAGGGAAGAGAGAAGAAACTGAACTGTTTCTTCAAAGAGAAGACTTGGACAATGCTGGAAAATGCATAAATGAGTTATTGACAGTAAGATGTCAGAGCCTGTTGCTGATGGCTGAAGAACACTGTGGTGACACACTCCATTAGATATCTTTTGATATCCTTACTGTTCTCATCCATAATGTGCTTTGTTTCTTGTTTGGTTGGTTTTTTGTGGGCTTTTTTGCAGGACTGCTTTCTTAAGCAAAAGACTGGTCCTCTTATTGCTTTATCAAGAAAGCAGAATTACCACATCCTATGTGTTTTAATCAAATGTTGGGGTTTTTTTAAGTACTTTAGGATTATAAGCTGCTATTCAGGAGGAGCAATTGTTTACCTTGCAGGCTCACCTGTATAGGTTCCGGATATTTTGTTTGCTTAAAGGGAGGGAATTGTCTCGTGCAAAAGGCAAGTGTACAGCTATTCTGTAAATTTTATACCAGCCCTTCTTCAAAAGCTCTTAAGAAGAGTCTAGAGGTACATTCAAGAATAGGTGCTTCAGTAATAGAGTGGGGTTTGGATGCTTTAGCAATAACTTGTTCGTTGTTCCCTCTGCCCCATTTGAGAGTGAGTTCTCTGGTGATACAGAGGAGGAAACACAGTAACATTTGCGAATGTAAGGAGAAGCAAGATAGGATGTAGATATCAGTGCCTAAGGAGTATTTTCTTCCAAAACTCCAAACTGGAGAAAACTTCCCAGAGAAGTAGAGGAGGTTCATTGTAGAGAATTAGGAAATGAAATGAGATCAAATTTCCTTTGAGAGTTCTGCCTAACCCTTTTCCCTGATATGTCTTCCTTCATTGGAAGCATCCTAACCATTGGCAGAACACCTGCAATTCAAAACTGTTAGTAATGTCAACTGCTGATGTAGTCTAATTAAAAAAAAGTTCATAAATGAGATTTTAGAAGTTTGATATACTTTAATTTTATTTTTAAATTTGCTGTCTCTCAGGTATTTAATTTTACATTGTTAAGAGTTATTCTGTCAAGTTACTGGTATACTAAACACTAACTTAGAATGTTTTTTTTCACTGCTGGTTGAGGATGCTGTGTTTCTCCAAACCAACTGCAGGACTGTGTGCATATTAAATTATTCTCTGGGGTGGTAGTTTGGTCCAGGCCTTCCTTGGTGACCAGTTTGTAACCAAGGAAGGGCCCAGATTTACCCAGTATTCCCTACGATTTTTACGTAAGCCAGACTATAAGAAGAAAGGAGGAGAGGCCTTCTCTCTTTCCTTCCAGCGGCTTGGAGGTGCAGGTTCCCTGCTGTTGAGTCTGCCGTGTTGGGGAGCGAGGCCTGGTAAGGCCTTGTCGACCTTGGGAGGTGGAGGTTGCCAGCGATCGTCCCGGAGCAACTCTTGGT